CTGACTGGGATGTGTACCGTTCTTCACACTGTGTCCGTGCGACCAGAGAATGTTCAAGCATGGTTCATGCCCATTGTCCAGTATGTTGAGTATGTGATGTCAACGCAATAATGGCGAGCATGTCTACGACACTAAAATAAAATTGAATTCCTGTTCTTAAATTACAAAGTGTGCTGATACAGTACAGTTTAAAAACTTTAGTTATTTTCATAGTTGTCTTTGAAGAATGGCAGCAATTAAATTGAATCCATCAAATTCACCTTCCGTTGAATTAAGTTCCTATCGGGATCAACACTTTAAGGTTAGTTCGTGTTTACTTCTTCGTATCTAGAAAACATCTCGATCCATTCAAAGGTTGCAAAACGTGAATATTGTAACATACTAATGAGAAAATTTCAATAGTAGTTTCTTTAATTACATCAGATTAATAATGATGCATTTTATAACAATACTGATTCCCATTTTCAGGGTTCGCGAGCTGAACAGGACAGACTTTTAAGAAATTCTACAACGCTGTATGTCGGAAATTTGTCATTTTATACCACGGAAGAACAGATATACGAATTATTTTCAAAGTGCGGTGACATCAGAAGAATTATAATGGGTTTGGACAAATACAAGAAGACACCTTGTGGTTTCTGTTTCGTCGAGTATTATTTAAGATCGGATGCCGAACACTGCATGAGGTACATTAATGGAACTCGTTTGGATGATAGAATAATTAGAACAGACTGGGATGCAGGATTTATAGAGGGCAGACAATATGGACGAGGAAAAACTGGTGGACAAGTATGTATTGCTATTTGTGATAACATTAAATTGCTTAATTAAGTCCATCATAATATTGATCACAGTCCTTGAAAAAATTATCGAGGACCAAAAAAATATTATAATTGTTATTAAATACATTGATCCTAACTTATATTGGTTTCAGTTTCGGTTCTTCAAAACCGATATTATATTACTTCGATAACTAATTCTTCGGTTCTACCGATATCTAGTATGTAAATGTAAATAAAATGTAAAGCTTTTTAAGGCTCTTCACTGGAATTTTTAATTTTCGAATAGCAGATATTAACAGTTATACGACTTTAAACATGACTTTTCGATTGTTAAGGAAAATATGTATTTACTTATTACTTAAAACAACCGTAGGCAAAACGAAGAACCGAAATACAGAACTGAGAAAGAACAATCACAAAGCCGACATAATATTGGTTCCGAAAAACTGACATTTGTTCGGTTTTCCGTAATAGTTTCGATCAGAATCAATATTATATAACAATTTGAAACAGTTATTTTCAAAAGTCATTTTATGATATATCGTATCTTTACAGGTGAGGGATGAATATAGATCGGACTTTGATAGTGGACGAGGAGGATACGGTAAAATAATCCAACAGAAAGTGACGCCTATTTCTGATGGAGGTTTTGGTCGTTAATGAACATGACTACCTTCCTATACTAAATTTTGTATGCATAAGACAACTATTCAGTTAGTTACATTTAAGCGAAAATAATATTTAAGGAATTATAATAATTGTACATATATGATAAGAATGAACATGGAACATGGATGAAAACTATTTATACATAAGACGAACATTGAATTTCATTTTTATTTTCTCCTCTTCTATCGTACAAGATAAAAGAAGAAATTATCCATTCTCGTTTCAT